TAAAGAAATAAATATAAAATATAATAAAATAAATTTTTTTTTATAAAAAAAATTTTAATTATAAATTATTTATTTGAATTGAATTATTTAAAGGTGTGTATGGAATTTCAATTCTACGAAATAAAAAAATTAAGAAAGATGCTGAACTGTTAACATTTTTCTTAATTTTTCTTTTATCTCGTAAGATTAAAATTTCATATACACAATTAAATTTTAATTTAGATTTTAAATTTTTACCATTTAAATAAGTTATTTTTATTATATATAAGTGAAAAAATATTATAATTTTATTTTATGATATTTATATTTAATATAATAAATATTTTATTATAAATTTTTATAATTATAATTAATAGTTAATATCATTAATCATAAATTTCCTTTTTTTAGAGATTTATATAATCTAATTTGAATTTTGTTAAAAATTAAAAATTTTTTTTTTAAATCATATAATATCAGTAATAATCACCATCTATTATTTTAAATAAATACCTTTTTATTATTATATAATATATTCAAAATAATTTTATTATTTAAATTATAAAAATTGAATAAATAAATAAATAAATATATAATATTAATATAATTATAAAATTTTAAAAATATAATAATATAAATAATAACTTTTTTGAACTTTATTTTATTAATTTATAGAATTCAAAAAAATTATATTATTAATATTTAAAATAGTATTAAAAAATAATTTGCAAGAATTAATTTAAATTAATTAAGTAAAAATAGTATTACATAAAATTAATTACTCCTTTTAACTTAGATGTAAGATAATTAAATAAACTCAATAATAATAGATATATTTAAATTAGCTTTAGATAATCAATTGATTATTTTTATATTATATATATTTTATATTATTAAATAAATTAAATTTTTATAATAATTTTTCTAAATTATAAAAAAAAAAATTTTAAATTACAATAAAAATGTTTTGCAAAAAATTATTAAAAAGTTTTTTTTTGAATTAATAATAACTTGAATTAATTTAATAAAAAAATAATATTTTAATTTATAAAAGTAAAAAATATTTTTTTGGTAATTTTTTTTCTACTACAAAGTATTTATATATTAAAAAAATTAAATTTTTATTAATCATATTTTTATAAATAAAAAATAAAAATAAACTTATATATTTATTAATTATAAAATTAATTGATTATATATTTACTTTAAATCTACTAATAAAAAATAAATATATTATTATTTTTAGTATTATTAATTAATATAATACTTAATGATTATTATAAAATAAAAATTATTAATATTAATTTTATTATATAAATAAATAAATTAATTAAATTTATTTCATTATAAGATTCAAATATTTATATAAAATCTATTATAATATTTTATAAGTTTTAATTTATATTAATAAATAAATTTATTATAAATATTAATAGAAAAAATTATTTTCAATTAATTTTTATAATTTTTAAAGAATTATTTATAAATTTTTTTGAATATAATTTAAAAAAATCTTTAAAATTATATTAGTAAAAAAAAATATTTATATTAAAATAAAATTTATTAAATAATTTAATAATAATAAATTTCTTATTTTTATATTATTATTACTGTATATTTACTAATTATTAAATAAATTTATTATTAAAAATAATTTTTATATTAATATATTATTAGTTATAAAATAAATAAAAAATAATAATTATTTCTTCTAAAATATTTTTTTATCTTTTCTATTTATAATTTTTTAATTTATTTTATAATTACTAATTTTATAAAATATTTTCAAATTTTACTATAGTGACTTTTATTAGTATCAATTTTAATAAAATATAATTTCAACTTTAAAATTAAAACTTTTATTATTATGATTTATTTTTATTTATAATTTCTATAATTAAAATATAATATAATATATATAAAACTTATAAATATATTTACAAAATATATTATAAAATATAAAGTTTATTATAACTATTTATTTAAAAAAAATTATATAAAAAAAAGAGAAAAAGAGTTTATTATAACTGTTTTTAGATAAATTAGATTAAATTAATTAAAAAAATAAACTATAAAAAATTAAAAATTAAATTAATTAAATTAAATCTATTTAATATAATTATTATTATTGTTAAAGAAATCTATATCTACCAAAAAAAAAAAAAAAAATTAAAAATTAAAAATAAAAATTAAATAAAAATTAATATTAAATTAACTTATTATAATTACTAATATTTATTATTATAAAAAAAAATTTATTATAATTATCAAAAATAAATTTAAAAATAATCAAATTTATTTTATTATATATATATTATTTATTATAATTATAATTTTTTCTTTTATTAGATTAAAATTAAATTAATAAAATTAAATTTATATATAATAATTATCAATTATTATTAAAAAAAAAAATTACAAAAAAAATATAAATAAATAAATAAATAAAAAATAAATTAATTTACTTATTATTATAATTATAATTTATTTATTATAATTTTTAATTAAAATTATTAGATTTTAAAATACTTATTATTAAAAAAATTAAAAAATTAAAAATTTGCTAAATATTTTAAAGTAATAGTTAAAAATAATAAAATAATTTTATTTTTTTTTATTAAAAATTTTAATTTAATTTTATTTTTATTATATATTTTTTTTTAAATAAAATCTCTTAAGGCATAATTAGTTATTTAATAATATTATTATTATAAAAATAAAAAAATATTTCTAATATAAGATATATATATTATATATAATTACTTTTTATAAGTATAAATTTTATTTAATCATAATTTTATTATTTTAAAATTTTAATAAGAAAATTATCTCTATATAATTATAATATAATTATAATTATTATTAGATAATAAGAATTGTTAAAATATTTAAAATGTTTAAATTATTTGATTAACTATACTTAAAAATATCATATAAATTATTAATTTAATCAACTATAATATAATATATATTAGTAGATCATATATAAAAATAGATATTATTTATATAATTTTAGAATAATTAGATAAAACCTAAAGATTTTATAAGTTGTCTAAATAATAAAAGGTAAAATTTAACAAAATTTTATTAAAAATTTGGAAAAAGGTAAACTATATTAAAATTTATAAAAATGCAAAATTATATTAACCATTTTATTAAATTTAAATAAACAATTTTAATTTTAATTAAAACTATTACTTTAGATAAATAAAATAAAAATTTAATCATAATAAAAATATCAGTAAAATTATTGTCAAGAAATATAAATTTAAGAGTGATACAATATGTGATAAGTAAATCATATGAGATATATATATTATACATAATTTTAAATCTAACTAAAAGTATCTTATGCTTATATTTCAAATAATTACATTTATAAATGTATATATATATTTCTTTTAGTAAATAATTCTTTTTTTTTATAAAATAAGTTTTATAATAAATGATATATTTTTTTTTATTTTTTATTTTATTTTATTTTAATTTCTTAAATTTAGAAATAAAATAGTTTTAATTCAGATTTAAGAAAAATATTATAATAAAGAATATTTAATTAAGTTTTTTATTATTTTAAACTTTTTTTAATATTTAAATTTTTAAAATAGATTTATTTCTTTTGTTAATTTAAATTTTAAGAAAAGATTATAGTATATAAATTAATTTCTTTAATAATAATTTAACTTTCTTATTTAAATAAATATTGTTAAAGAAATTTTTATTAATTTTTAAGAATAAGATTAATTTTCTTAAATTTTTAAAATAAATGTTATAATAGAAAAGGTTTATTGAATTTTTTTTATTAATTTTTAAATTTTTAAGAATAAAATAAATATATAAATATATAAAAAATATTTAAATCTATTTATTTTAATATAAATATAAATAATAAATTTGACTTATAAATTTATATATAATGATATAATTTGTATATAAAATATGTTTTTATTAATTTATAAAATTTTAATATAATCTTAAAGAAAATTTAAAAAGTTATATTTGAATTTTTATTTTCATGAAGTGAAAAATCACAAGAAATTTACAGATAGAAAATTAAAAATCAAATATATAACATTAATATAATTTATTTTAATTATTATTATAAGTATTATTAATTATATAATAAATTAAAATAAGTAATAAATATATTTAAGAATTTTATATATTTAAACTTTATCTATTTTTATATATTCAAAAATTTTATCTTTTTATGCATTTTAAATTTTATTTTTTTTACATTATAAAGATAAAAATTTATAAAATGTTATATTAATATTAAATTTTATTTGTCACTAACAGTTTGTAATCTCATAGTTTAAATTAAGGCTTTCGTATTATTAAGTTGACCATTGCAAATTATGCCATTTAGCAATAGGCTAAGAGTGAAGCCAATTAATACTCCAAAAAGAAATTCGCTTGTGAACGTATACATTTGTTATAGAACATTATTGGTAGAAGTCGATCGACAGATTTGTTTTATTTTTTAAAGATGTATTATTTAAACGATATTTATTGCATTGTGGTTGATTTTTGAATAAATTAACTAGTGCTATTTTTATAATAAAATATCCGTTTATTCATCATACACTGTAGACGATAATTACATTGTGAAAAGATCTAAAAAGTTCCTAATATACGTCATTGATTAAGCCACTGATCAGCATTAGTATATCAGATCTCATCGCATAGCACAAAACAGACTGTAAAAAAGATGAGCAATTACTCGAAACTGTGAAGCAAAACATTATGCAGACTAAGAAAGAGATAGACCATATCAAAGGTCTTTCCACTGATAACCCAGAGAGGGCGGCTTTTGCTCCTCTATATAGTTACCTTATAGAACTATAAAAAAAGGAAAATATTCTGCTGGAAAGAACTCAACTAGGTAATGACTTTGTGACTCGGGCGTTGGGAATATAGAGTAGTGTGACATAGCAATGTAGTGTGTATATAGTAATAGATAGAGTAAACATAATAATGTAGCAATTCTTTCTATTTATAAAGATAAAATCAATATTAGAATGAGAATTGTTCAAGCATTCTGTAATTCAACTGGTGTTGAATGATCAAGTGAACTAACGAAACTGAGTTCTGCCCTTCTTGAACCATTTCACATAAAGATTCCTATTGAAACTAAAGTTCATAAACAATGGAAATCAGAAGCTGGAATTATTGTTGATGATTATTTTGTTGATACAGACGTGAAACATTCTACAGCTGGTATATTTAGTACATGATGTATAGTCACAATTTCCAAGAAATTAGATGGTTCAGAAAATCGCTTGATTAGCAAATATGATAATATAATTACTAATATGTGAGAGATACTAAAGGCAACTCAACCTATTGCTGGATTAATAGTGGAGTCTATGAGACCAGATGTTCTGGTTTGGGTATGAGACATACTTATCTTCAAGGGTGAAGAAAAGAAAGATAGAATCTTTAATGTTGTAAAAAATGAGTTACAGGAAAAGATGCAAGATTGGAATATAACAACAAGTGGAAACCTTCCCTACCTTTTGTCATATGATGCAGTGAGAGAAAAAATTCAATTCTTTACGATTACTAAAATGCCAGTCACCTCGATATGATGTATCCAATTTTTTAGAGGTATTCAATGTAAGTAATAATGATTCATATTACTGTTTGAATCATTATTTTTAGATCTAATCCTATTGTAATTGGTCAAATTTGTAGGTTTTAATATCAGCTCTGAATATGTTTAAATTTTTTCTTACGGATGTCACATTATTTTCTGATGAAGGATTTCCTTTAATGAAAATTTTAAAGCGAAGTAATGGCACATCTATCTCATTTATTTCATCCACTTATGTTCAAAAATGAATCGATATATTTGATGAATATCCCTATAGCAACTTTGACGTTTTACAAGGAGTATATAAAACAGTGCGTTTATGTGAGTATGCTGCAAGAGCTTATCAAGGTCCAGAATTGTTAGAAAAGAAACGAGGTAAAAGGAAACTTGTGTCTTATGTAATGCATATTGAACCTGTGTGTTTTAGACAGCAACCGCATAATGTCAGAGAATTGAAAATAGCATTTTATCACATATTTCAAGTCCTTGTTATAATCCATAATACAGGTTTTGTACATTGAGATTTGTGATGGGAAAATATTTGGAAAGATAGCAAAGGAAGATACATTGTTAGTAACTGGGAGCATGCTAGTAGAATAAATGAAATACCAACTTTTATTTTCAATTGATGGGCATCAGAACTCCATACACTTCCCATACCACCTTATACAGATAAAGCAGATATATTTCTTGTAGGAAGCTTATTAGACACGATGTCTCTATTACTCTCAGCTGAAGAACTAAGACTTTATTCACAGTTGAAGTGTAACAATCCTGATGAATGTCTCTCTGCTGCAGTTGTTTTGAAACACCAATGGTTTGATGATATAAGAGACAGTTTCTGAGTTTATGACATTCTAATTTATAAGCTATATGCATAATAAATATAAACAAAGTTGCTTTAATATCAGTCGTATAATAATCAAAGCACATGTTTAAAATTTAATAGTAAATTGTGGGGTTAATAATAAATAATAAAAATAAAGATTTTTCAAATCTCTATTTCTTTATAAATTAGTTTCTCATGTCTTTTAAAAAACAAATAATACAACTTTTTTCTTTAGGTAGTCTCATTCCAATACTTCATTATAGTATATATTCAATAAATTGGTGGACTTTTATTGATAGAAAAATTCTCAATGAAGAGAAACAAATATGTATACCTATAAGACTAAATATGAGAGTTCAATTAGAATTTAACAAAACCAAATTTATTATCCGTATTGTTAGTGCAGAAGATGGCATTAAACCAGGCTATATCTGTGAATCTGATGTAGCTGCAAAAGTTTACCTTTCCGCTTTAGAAGCTATAAATAAAACTTACAACAATTCTTCAGTTTTAGGATTTGATAATGAAAATGTTACTCAAGAACTATTATCTGATGTTTTATTTTATCCTTTCAAAATAATAGTTAACAAACTTTCTATTCTAATTATAAAGTTAGGTAATTCAAATGACAATAATATGATTAGGTATCAATCAAATTTTATGTTCAAATATTGAGGCAAGCAAAGTCTTTTTGTACAAAAAATTGAATGTAAAAAATATTGTATAGAGATATTTCAGAAGAAAAAAAGAATTGCATACTATAGTAATATTTCACTAACTGAAGTTTAGAAGAAAATGGGAATATTGAAAAATTATGATAGTAGTGTTTTATTTGGAATCGAGTATCCTACTACAGTTAATGCATTGAAAATTTATGCAAAATTACTAATATGTAGCATGAATGAATAGGATAATATCGAAATAATGATCCAAGTGTTCAAGCAGCATCTAAAATGTCAAACTACCATTCTTGATCTTAATTGGCATAAGTTTTTTATTGAATGGAAAGAACAAGAATCAAATATTATAGAATTTATGACGCATCTTAAACCACTATATCTGTTGAATTATGAATTTAATGATCGGGAGTTACGTGCTTGAAAGAAGATGATGAAAAGCATGGGTTATACGAATATAACGCCTTATAAAAAGCAAAAATCAAAGGTAAGGATTTTTGGAATTAACCATAAAATTTTGCATCCAATATAATCACGTAGTTAAAAAATTGAACTTTTATTATTATAGCCTAAATTTTAGACGTACGCAGTGAATTCTAGTAGTGACAGCACTACACTTCTATACTTGTTTAATAAGAATTTGCTAAATAGTGTTTATAATAATGAAGCTGAATTTATAAAAGAAAATAATCAATTGAAAATAATCATTAATAAATTCTGGCAATGTTTTAAACAAGCAATCAAAGCTAATAAATGCAGATTAGATAGAAAGCAATAAATTCTTTCTATTATAATGGAAAAGTTTGGATTTAAAGAAATACAAAAAAATTACAAGTAAGTTTGAATATAATGCCATTTGTTATTTCATAAATAAAATAAACTTACCACAATTTCTTTTTAGATTTCAAATGATTTAATTAGTGTCTCAACGAAATATAGTCACATAAATGGTCCAGGGTGTTCTGTAAAAATCAAACCAGTTGTAACACGAAATTCTATTTCTGAAATAAAGATAGAGAATTTAAGAACTTTTTTCTGACAAAGGAAATGTCACGATGAGCTCTTATCGTGTTAACCCAAAAACTAACCTACAATTATTATATCTAAAAGATAATAAAGAAACTCTATGGCAAAATTCGAGGCAGCTTATTCTGATAGAATAAAAAGAATCTCTTTTATAACACGTTTAGCAAGTGATCAATATGTATATTAAAAAGATTTGGGTGGGCTATGTAATATTTGCAATGAATATTATTACGAAGTGTTTGATACATTAATTAGTTTGGTATAATTACATGTAGAAAAGGAATCACAGGTATATAATAAGAATATTATGTAACAAAATTTTGTTTGAATTTATTATTTATAAAGAAATTGTAAATAAATATTATTTATTATTATTTTTTTTAAAAAAATAAAAATAAAAATCTCAAAAACTCAAGAATTCACTAATAAATGAACTTGAAAAATTACGCTATCATCTAAAATGAGGTTTCAAAAATGAACTTATTGTAAATAAAGATGGCACAGTATCATATACGGATACAATTAACCACTACTTATTATACGCGTTTGGAGAATATACATAAGAACATAAGAGCCATTGTGCCATGTGTGATCAATTATTCATGCTTCTTGAACATTTAATTATGATACTTCCAAAGAATTTTCAAACTACAATCGAAGAATCACATAATAAACTTTATTATTTTCTTGCTTACCAGGTAAGAAAAGTCTATCTAAATAATTAATTTAAAGCAAAGCTTTTAGAACTTGACGATGATGGCACAATTCTAGTATGTGATTACAAAATGAGGATCTTACCTAAAAGTGCCTGCGAAACTAAGGAGCAGTTCTTTGGAAAGCGTGCTGGACACTTTATATGATTTTGGTTTTTACAAAATGTAATGCTTCACAACTAAATATATAAGGATTTGACCACTGGTCTACTGATATCAAGCAAGATGCTTGGTTTACTACATTATTTTTTGATACTGTTTTCAAAACGTTAGATCTGAAACTGAAGTGGATCAAAATTTTTTCTGATAATAGTGATCATTACCACAATTCAGAATTAATGACCATTGTTGTAAATTGGAATTAATGGTATAGAATTGATATTTGTGGATAGTTTTTTTGAATCTGGGGAGGCAAAATCTAATATTGATTCACATTATGCACAAATAAGTTATGGTTTCATTTGATAAAATATTGATTTCATCTACAAAGTACTATATAACAGTAAATTATCAATACCAATTTTCTTTTAGATAACTCATTCTATCAAGAGATATGTAAGAGTCAGATATAATTTAGATAATGGTGAAAAAATAGAAGATGCGATAAAGAATTTAGTGGAATATCTGTTGTTTATCTAGTATCAAAACAAAATCATATACCTGTTAAAACTATATCTGGCATTACCAAATTATCATATTTTGAATGGCCAATTGAAAGCTCATTCATCAGATATAACCTTATCATATATAGATAAATGGTCACGTTACTCTCCAACTGACATCTTAAAATTAATTGATGAATCCTTATACAAGCCAACTCCTAATATTTCTACACATACTAAACTAAATTTGCCATGGAATTTTCCTATAGTTCAGATTAAAGGTATATTATAGATGAAAAATATATTTATTATATTTATGTTTATTTAAAGATAATAAAAAATAATTATTTTTTTTTCTTTTACAGATAAAACAAATAAAAGCACGTTAGAAATTAGAAATAATACTCAAATCTGTTCTATAGATAGGTATAGCCAGACTGCCTTAGTAATAATGTAAGTTTTTCTTTACAAATTATAGTTACTCTATTATTATAGACATAAGCAATAAATTTTAGTTAGCAAATGAATAAGCACTCAAGAGTAACCAGAAATATGGTCAAAGGGATAGTGGAAAATATATAACAGCAATAGTAAAAGCTTATTTGGAAGGGTTTTTTTTAGTGGAAAATGTGAATAAAACAAACTAAATATCTGCAAAAGATATGATTTTAGAGTTAAATAAATTAGTAGCAGAAGGTGAAATTTAAAAAAACGAGGTATCTGAAATAAAAATAATTGAGGGTTAGATTACAAGATATTCTGCAAGCTTACGCAAAATATCAGCAGAACAAAGAGTAATAGGTGAAGCTAATAAAAGAATTGAAAATGGTGATAATAGTAAAAATAGTCGTAAGTGGCAGAAAAGATAATATTTTTATAATATAAATTGATAAAATTTTTAATTTTACTATATTTTGATCTACTCAAATCTCTGTTTCTCCTATATAAAAGTTTTTAAATAGGAGACGAAAAAATTTTATAAATGATTAAATCAAAAACTTTCAGATTTAGTTTATCATTCTGTTAATTTTTTTCCCGATATAAGTTACTTTAGTGTTTTATGTATTGCATAATTACTGCACATTAAAGGTTATCATATGCCGATTACCTTAAATTTATCATATAAATCTGCTCTGATTGATCGGTGAATTAGCAATTAAAGTTTTAATATAACTAAATATTATAATTTTTTATTCTTGTTTTAACAATTCTAATATAGCATTTTTTAAAACTTCTTTATCATTTTTATTTAGTGATATAATATTATCATATATTTTAATTTTTTTAATAAAATAAAATGTTGATTTTGTTAATTTAATATAAAGTGTTTAAATTATAATTACTCAGTCTCAAGTTACTAGTATGTTAAAATTGATAAGAATCAGTCAATTAATTAATCAGTTAGAAATCTTTGATTGACTAATATCAGTCATAGTTATAACTAGTCATGACCATGATCATTAGCATCTCTAAATTTATTCCTTAAACTATAAAGCAGACAAATTTGCTTGCAAAATATAAAAAAAAGTATTAATTTTTTAATAAATATAAAATATTAATTTAATAATATAATTATTATAGTTTAGTATATATTTTATCAATTTTCTTAGAAAGATTTAAATTTATTAAAAGTTTTTTAAATAATTCAATTTTAAAATTAAGTTTTAAAATATTGACAATTTCTATTTATATATTAGTATATATATACTATAATACTCTAAATAGTTCAGATATTAGACTAATCTAAAACTAAACCAAAAATTTCAGTTCAATTTAGTTTAGCTTATTAATCTTAAAAATGCCAATCTGAAATTGAACTGAACTGTAAACTGGAAAAATCTGAACTAAACTGAAAATTATGAATTAATTTGAATTTTTCAGTTCAGTTCATTCTAAATGAATAATAAGAAAATTATTCAATTAGAATGATAATATTGATCATTTCAGATGAATGATAAGAAAATTGTTCATTTAGAATAATAATAATAATATTTTAGACAAATAATAAGAAAATTGTTTGACTGGAATACTTATCAATTATTTCAGACGAATAATAAAAAAATCATTCAACTGGAATGCTTATCAATCATTTCAGATAAATGATAAGAAAACTATTTGTTTAAAATGATAATAACATTTTAAACAAATAATAAAAATAGTTCAATTAGAATGATTAAATTATCATTCTAAATGAATGATAAAAGAATTATTTATTTGAAATGATTGAAATTATCATTTCAAATAAATGATAAAAAATTATTTACAGTCAACTTTTGATATAGCGAACTCTTGATATAACGAATTTTTTGAACAAATATAATAAAAATACTCTTATTATAGCGAATTGGCTAATCAAATCTCTTAAAATCTTTACTATAGCCTTATAGCAAAGTTGAGGTCTAGGATATAGAGTTCGCTATAACAAGAGTTGACTGTATTTGGAATGATTAAATTATTATTCTAAATGAATGATAAAAAATCATTTATTTAGAATGATTAAAATTATTATTCTAAACAAATAATAAGAAATCATTCAATTAGAATGATTAAATTTTATCATTTCAAATGAACAATAAAAAATTATTTATTTAGAATGATTGAAATTATCATTCTAAATGAATTATAAGAAATTGTTTATTTGAAACAATTAAATTATTATTCTAAATGAACAATAAAAATCATTCATTTAGAATAATTGAAATTATTGTTTTAAATAAATGATAAGAAATTATTCATTTGAAATGATTAAATTATTATTTCAAATGAATGATAAAAAAATTGTTCATTTATTTAGAACAATTGATATTATCATTCTAAATGAATAATTTTCTTATTGTACATTTGAAACAACCCATTTGAAATTTTAGATTAAACCAAAATTTTCAGTTCAGTTTAAATTATTTTCAGTTTAGATTAGATTTATAATCTGAAAAAATCTGAACTGAATCAAAAATTTTCAGATTGATTTTTTTGTAATCTGAAACTGATCTGAAATCGATTTAAACTGAAAATTTTCAGATTAATCTGAACCATTCAGAACTTTAATATACTGGTTATATGATAAGATTAACATTAATATTAATTTTTGCTGATATTAAAAAATTAAGAAAATAGCTATGTAACAGATAAGATATAATGAATAATAATTTTTTATTGAAAAATTTTAAGTTTTTAAAATAAATAGTAAAACTAAAGGTTAAAAAGTATAATATTAATAATAATATATTTGTTACATAATTTAAATATATATATTCTATATAAACTTAAAAATTTTTTATAATAATTTTTAAAAATTTCACTTTATTATTATAAAAAGTATAAAATTTCTTATAAAATTTATCATAAAAAAATAATTTTAATTATTATAATTTTTATAATTTACTAATATTATATTATAATTAATATTGCTAAAAATAAGATTGTTAAAGGTTAATAATAAAATTTTTAGCTTATAAATTATTTATTATATAAAAAATAAAATTTATTATGAAATTATATATATTTATAAAATGAAAATTTTTCATAAAAATAAATCAAAAGAAAATTTATAGTAAATAATTAAATAAATTTATTTGCAAAATCCTATAGTTTAAGAAATAATAATATTGAATAAAAATACAATAATATTTTTAATATAAAAAATTTTTAAGTTCTTAGATTAATTAATAAAAATAAAATATAATAAAATATAATATAGTATAATAATAGTAACTTAAATAAAAATTAATTTATTTCTTTTTTTTATTTCTTTTATTATAATTTTAGTAATTAATTTATTTATATTTAGTATTTTATTCTTTTTTTTATATTAAATGAGACATGTTACAACAAAACTAGACAAAGTGAACATTTTTAAATAAGAGGCTAATATAGCTGAAAGTTAAACAATTTGACTAATAACATTTTGAAATAATGGTGCTCATTCATAATTTATGAACTTGTTAATTTTAATGCTCACTTTATCATACCAGAATGTGATAAATATAAATCATAACAGGATTAATATAGAATTATCCCTATATAAAAAATATTAATATGAAACTAATTTATATTAAATCCACTATGGAACCCAAAAATTATAGTACTATTAGAAGTATTTTAAAGAAAGCTCAAGGTGAAAAAATTGCTTCATACATTTTTAAAATCAATAATACCCAAACTTTTCAGCAATATCTAGATTAAGAAAAAATTACGTATGAAATTTAAATTACTTTTTTAATTTTAATCAAGGTCATTTCTTAGTTTCTTTAACTTCAATTTGAGCAATTTGACTATTCTGTTACTCTTTTAAGTGCTGGTTTTCTTCCTTTAACTTAGTGATTTTAGCTTCTAATTCTTTAATTCTCTTTATTTTCTCATCATCTTACTCCTTAACTTTTCATGAAATTTAGCAACTTCCTTTCTTTCAATGTTTAATTCCTCTTTAGTAGTCATTAACTCTTTTTCTAGTTTGCTAGTTCTCTTTTCTAAACAAGAACTGAAAGGTCAAGAAATTAATTCACTTTTAGTAAGAGATTAGATTTGCTTCTTTTTTTCTTTATAATAATAACAAAACCTCTTGTTTCTCATTAATCTATCACACTTCTTACATCTTAGGAGAGTACTATTATCATATTCAATTTTACAGTCTTTACAAATAAAGGATATATCAAAGTATTGTTCTATCTTAGTGTGTACTACTATCTGATATATAGTAGAAACAATGCTAAAATAAAGGTTGGTTTAGTCACTATAGTCTATAAAGTAATAACTGCATTTTTGCTCATCTTCTTTTATTAATTCCAAAACTCTATATTCTAAACTCATACTAATTTATTTATTTCTTTAAATAATGTAAGTTTGAAACTTATCCTTACTTTTTTCTTTAACTTTGTTTCTAATTGTTTAAGTTTTAATAATCTGCTTTGCTTTTTAGGCAGGGCTGGCAATTCTTTATTCTCATATTCTTTGACAACTTGTTTTTTATTTCTTAATCAATTAATATTATTTTCTAAAACTTCTATTCTTTCAAAAATCACTTCTCTCTCAAAACATGGATTGATTTTACTTCTTTCATTTAATGTTCTCTTAACTCACCAACCACAATTAATGCTTTCTTAATTTCTTTGTATTCTATTTTTAAATCATCTTCCAAACCTTCAACTTTTTCTTTTAATTCTTCTACCTTTACTTCCAACTCTTTAATTCTTTCATCTTTATCTCCAATAATAATTTGAGAATTATGTCCTTAGCTGATTTACCAAAGATTTCACCTCCTTCTTTTATTTGAGAAAAAATATGAACTCTTTCATTTCATTTCTTTCAATCTTTTAACAAGTCAGTAGCTAACTCAATACTTTTAAAATGGTCTATGATAATTCTTTCTACAACTTCTTTCAAATTCTCCTTTTCTTTTCAATTATAGTTATGTATAAGACTGTGTTGAAAATAAATATTCATAAATTGTTTTCTTAATGGTTTACTAATCAATTCTCTTAGATCTTGTTCAATATTCTTGCTATAGTAAGGGAACCTATTCCTTATATCTACCAATATTTGGTAAATTTTTTCAGTTGCTTTTTTTTTAAATTCTACTTCTTCTTATTTGCTTACCTCTGTACTTTTATAATCATTGAGTTCTCTATTTTTATCTGCTAATTGTTATTTTAATAATTCTATTTCATTCAATAATTCTTTATTTTCTTGCTATTGTTTTTCTATAATATTTATCATGATTTTTTATTTATTTATTTTTAATATACTTATAAGGCTAAATTAAGTATATAATTATTTTAATATTACTTTTATTTAAACTTTAAAAATTGTAAAGTGGGAATATTAGATAAAGAATTTAATATGATAAGAAATTAATGAATTTTAGTCTAAATATTTTATTTGTTGCCAGTATAGGTTAGGCTTAGGCAAGTAATGTCTTTAAATTCATCTTTAACAAATAGGCAAATATGATTATAAAGATATTCTTGCCTTTTGTAATCCAAAGGAAGAGGGTTAGGACTAAAATAGAAAAAGATTTAATTTCCTTAGTAATTTTGGAAACACTTGCTTTTTTAGTTTTTAATAAATCAATTCAATATACGAATCATTAGCAACTAGCTGAGCTTTAATAATATCAGGTTTGACTACTTTGAATACAAAATGTTGATATTTTTGTAAACCACTTAATTTTTTAAAGAAAATTCCTAACACTGAATTAAGATCTAAATATTGAAAGCCTTTGCTATTTTCATAGTACTGAGCTTTATTTAATCTGGTTGTACTCGATCTTTTTACAACCTTAACAATATGATTTACGTAATCTACTGATATTTTGCGATATAGTTTCTTAATTAATCCAAAACTACCATCACACTTGAATTTAGTATGACCAGGTACCATAAAATTTAATTCAATACTTTCTTAATAACTGTAAATTACTAAATATAAGTAAAATCAAATAGTGGCATTATTTTTGTTTTGCCCATCCGCATTATCATAAGTAATTTTTAAATGTTTTTCATCTTTATTCAATTTCTTAATTCCATTGAATACCAGGCTCAGTATGCCATTGAGGTCTTTGCCAATAATTTCATCTTTATCGAGAATGTAATTAATTTATTTACATACTGCTTCATCTTGAATACTAAATAAATGTATTTTACGTAGACTAAGATAGTAAATCTTACTTACTTGTTGATCAGAATGGGACATGTGAACGTTTTGTGTTCAATTGTAACTATAATGAGTAGTTGCGTTAATGCTACAATAATCAGCTTTGCCTCTCATCGTAAAATGCTCATTTACTAATTTTCTCTATTATTTTGCTAATTTCATATTCCTGTTGTAATAGTTTCTCTCTAATTTAGCTTTAACTAAATGTTCTTTGTACTTTTTTAGTAAGTTTCTTGCTTCTTTTTTCTTGTGAGTATTGTATTGTAAACTATTTTAAAATGTTGGCATGTATCACATAAATCTGTTTGTAGATTCATAATTTGAATATAAGGCATTAATTAGTGTTATAACTTGCAGAATGCGTCATATTTTAACAATTTTAATGTGCTATCATTTTCAAGACCTGCAATAAAATTATGATAGACTGACTTGTAACTCATTTTAGCTAGTAAAAGTGTAAGTGATTTGGTAATTTGATTGACATTTCTACTAGGACATAGTAATTTGTGTATTTTAGCATAGTTTTCAAGAAATTCTTCATAGCAGTAGTGACTGTTATATTAATAGTTATTTTAGTTTTCCATTGTGGTATTCATTTTATGTTACTATGAATGCGTGGTATTATACCATTCATCACTAGGTGATTTCTGACATTTTCGAAGTGAGTGCGACCAATTTCTAACATATTGAGATATGTTTTTTGACAAAGTGGCATATTATAATATCAGTAGTAAAATATTTACTTGTTAGTATGTATTTCTTTTTAAGACGTTAGCTGGCAGTTATTTTTTTACCATTTATTGCTTTCAATTAGACCATTAAAAATATGTCTTATTCAGATCTAAAGAGTGCTTGAAATGTCTCACGTAATTCAGCAAACCTTTCTTTTAGAATTTCTTTTGAACATTCACAATTGCAATCTATCTTTAAGAAATGTATAACTTTTTCGTATTTAGTTGAACTATTAGAATTATAAATTTCCATATACAGGTAATCTTATATTAATACATCAATTTTATTGCTAGTCTTTTAAAATAATCTATAATTTACTAATTTTGAATTTTAAAGTAAACTGATTGACAATTTCAAATGTATGGACAAAATTAAAATAGGCGAGCGATATAATTTAAATTATAATTATATATATTTATAGAAATAAAAATATTTATAATAAATATAATAAATATAAATAATTAAATATAATAGAATATAGAAAAAATTGTATAATAGTTAATTTTTATATTTATATTTATAAACAAAAAAAAGTAGAAAGTTTTTATATTAAATAAATATGATGTAAAATTATTTAATAAAATTAATTTATTGAATGGATGATAATTAGATTTTAAGAAATTTTTTGATTAAAATTAAGAGTTTAATACATTTTAATCTAATAACATCAAAAATTAAAATACAATAAAAATCTCAATTTTGTTAAAAAATTTTTAGAATCTGGTTTTTTAAAATGTTATTTTAATACAGTAATCTATATTTTGAAAATTCTATTTATTAAATCAATTGATATTAAATACTAAATGCTAATTAATTAAAACTAGAATAAAAGACAAAATTAAAAAATAAAATAAGTTTAATAAGAAAGAAAAATATAATCATAAAAATAGAATGAGAATAAAAAGTAATCTATTCTAAATACATCCTTTTGAGATTATAGGAAAATTTTAAAAATTATGCATTTAAAATGAATATGCATTTAAGAGAAATTTTCTATATTATTTTCTTATATACTTAGAATTAAATGAGAGCATTGCATTTAAAAAAAATATAAAGTGTGTATATTGAGAAAAGATGCATTTAGGTTTATTGTATAAAAAATAAATAAATAAACTAATTGTTTCATTTTTCTAAAAGAAATCTATTGTTTTAAAGAATAGTATATTAAAAGAATAATATGTTTTAGCTCAGAATCATTAGTAGAATAATTTTTCTGAAAAACTAATTGGCTAAAATTAAACTATAAGGTATAATTGATATTATAAAAACAAATTTCTAAATGAATTTTTGTTTAGTAATTCTTTATAATAGTAGTTAAAAGAATTTGTATATAAAAATATATGAAAGAATTTAATAAGATATATTAGACATTATATTGAAACTAATTTGAATTTAAGAAGAAAAGCTTATGGGCAGCGTTGGCAAATGACCTTGAAATGACCTCAAATGACCTCAAATGACATCATTTTTATTATAAATTTCAAGTCAAAATGACCAAAGGTCATTTAAAAAATAGTAAATGACCTTATAATTTGCCATCACTGGTTTGTGGAATATACCCTTTCTAATGAAGTACATTTCTTAAATATAGACTTTGTAATCCTTCTAAGATATTACTTATTAATTGTTGAGACTTCGTAATTCTTCTTGCTGTTTGTTCACTCAATTGTGATCACCCAATATGACATCATCTCCTTCACCTTTTCGTTAGGATCGAATTGCATATTTTCGGAAATTGCAGAAAATTTTCTGTTACAAGTAACGCGTCTTTTAATTCCATCCTCTTGTGAATTTCTATATTGCTACTAAATTTCTTGTCCAATAAGCGATTGAAATCCTCAATCATCAAGTTTCTGTCATCGGTACTTCTTTTAACTGGTTTGTAACATTTAAAAGCTAAGATCCGACCAAATATTTTATTTGTAATTAATATTTGAAAATTTCCAATCAGATCCCGGTAAATGCTTATAATTTCAGCTCGATACCTTTTCGTGATGATAATCAATACATTTGCTCAATGTTATATATTTTATAAAATTCTTTTTAATTTGATTTGTCATAAATTTACGATTTTCCAACTTTAATTATTTTGATTATTTGATGATTAACAAAAAATAAGTGGAAAGTATGAGGTCTATATATATAAAAATATAATATGCTCATAATTTTTATATTTAACATTAATTTGCTTATGTGGTAATCAATAATGATCCCTAAGGTATAGAATACTAAAGTAGGCAATTAAAGGGAAATTATCTGATAAATTAATCATAATTGCAATAAAAACAACATGTTAACGACGTTTCATATTTCACAACTTTTCCTTAAGGAATATTAAGTTCTTGCTTTTTTTGAACTATAATGTCATCAGCTGATACTTTCTCTTTCTTCTCTTATAAAGTCACTTAGTATCGTGACAAACTTATTCGGCTAATCCTTTTAGTGACCGTAATAAACATTTTCACTTGCTATGGGATAATTTAACAGAATAAACATTAAATACGCGCCATTTATCAAGATTGGCGAAGTTTTGATAACATCTTGTTTTAAATTTAAAGCATATTTACATCGAAACCGAAATCGAAAGTACGAAGCGTAAAAGGGTTTAGATCATCTTTAGAAGATGCCAATAAATCTTGTGCAAGGATGGTCAAAGTAATTTTTTTTTTTTATTACTACAAGAAAAAGGGTGTTGTGAACTCAATCGAAACAATAATATTTCATAAATATTTTCGTACATTTGTGGGTAAATGTACTCATTTCCTTTGTAAACCGTAATAAAAAAAAAAAAAAACTAAAAAAAAAATGTTAAATTTATGCTGCATTAAATTCAAATGAATTTATCATTCAATTCCGGATATCTATACACCGGATGATAAAAAAATGAGGGGGAAAAAATATTTCATCAGCCACAATGTCCTTTTTTTTCTTATTACTAAATAAAATTATAAATTTATTCGATGATTTGATCGTACTGCAAATTCGGAGAAAAATTTAAATATCTAATTTTGCCAACAATTGGAATTTTTTATTTTTAGTTTTTTCACCGTAGTAAATTATGTAAAATTAATTACATTCCCACCACCCTTCCTTATCCATAGGAGTGTGATATTTCTCAACAAGGGTTAGCCTTTTTTTACCACGTCTAAATTTTTTAGAATTAATGGGCACATCGGCGATATCAGTTTTACTAACACAAAACACCTCATATTCATTCACACTAAATCTAGTTGGACCATAGCTAATGTTACTAATTAAAGAAGAAGATTTATTATGATTATTTGTAAAATCAGTTCGCCAAACAAAAGGATTTCTTGTTGTAGAAAATGAAGCCCCAAGATCTAATGAAGTCGAACTCCACTCTTGTTCACTAGAAGATACATTTCCCTTCATACTTTTTATAATAGCATCACAAATCCCTTGTCTATAAGATTTAGATTCGGAAGAACATAGTTCATCCTCACATAAATTCTCTACGCACCATAAATCACCATCTCCAAAACACGGTCCATTCTTAAAAGAATTCCAAATGGCCTTCTCGGGTTGTAAGACACGCGACCATTGTGGTTGCGGATTTTTCCCATAACCCAAAGAAAATATAAAGCTATCCCTGGTCAATATCCACCCAGTTTGAGATTTCCATGACGTCGGATTATACCCCCCTATAATATGATCGGTACCTTTTATTCTCATTAGAACCAAAGTTGGACCTTTATTATCACATTTTGTATGAAATTCATCCGCAGAAAATCCGTCAATACTCCCTCGAAGTAATAATCCAAAGTGATATTTATAATTATTAGAATTACGTATTTGACCTCCATCAATCCAATTAGATATGATTGAAATTTGTTCTTGATTTATGAGAGATGACCTAATCGCGTTATTTGGTAGATACGTGAGTGATTCTTTTTGTACCCCCGTGTAATAAAAACATTCTAAATCTTCGTATAATGATTGTGAAAAGCAAGCTTTAAATGGCCTGACCTTTTGATAAAAATCTTTTGAATTGATTTCACAAAATCTGACAAATTGTATCCATTGTCGAAGCGTTTCTTCAAATTCAACAAAATCATTTGTCGTCCATTTTGTTACGTCACTACAAACATTTGGATGCTTTGACATGCACCATTGAATTATATGATCCCATATTTGTATTTCTTTCATTTGAAAATTACGTTGTTCTAGCACTATTTCCAACGTATCTTGATCTAGTGTGGTAAAATCTTCCGCCCTTAATAAAACATCTGGTTCCGTATAAAGAATACCTTTACAAAATTCTTGTAATTCTTTTGAGGCATCCAATCTAACTGCTGTACGATAAACTAATGCGAAACTCTTACGTAACCATAAGCTATGTTTTACAAGTAAATGACTTTGCATTAGATCATGTAATTCATTCATCAAAAGTTCATCCGCTGCTACCAAGATTTCCAAACATTGTTTTCCCGATTTCTCTGATAATGCCATCGTGCCAGTATATATGTACCTAAAGGTAAATAACGAAAAGTTAGGAAAAGACAAATCGTGTTGCGTACATGAACGTTAAAAAAAAAGACCATAGTTTAAACCTACTCCAAAATATCACCAAATACCGATGCAGAGATATTCGGTTTATTAAAAACCATGGCATCCCCTTCTTTCTTTACCCATTGGCATGATAATGCCGTATTAAAATAAGGTGACCTAATCCGTAATATTCCTGAATGTGCCTTAAATGTTTTAATATCTGGTTCTACGCCAACGTAGATGATTACATCATGATTATAAGCTTCCTTTAATAATTTACTTAAATCTCTTGAGAGCGCTCTAAATTGTTCAAGTGACATTGTAAGGAAATATTTGACCCAAAAAAGAGCTGTGAATTTTCACAGTCCATTTATATATTGAATTAAATTGGCAAATCTTTTCCATTGGGAGTTAGGAACACGATGTAACGTAATCACGTTGAGCAGATTTTCAAAAAATCGGATCTAACGTCTATTAAGTAAATTATGTAAGAAATTTTATTTTTCCGAAATTTTTGCCAAGAACGACTTATTTTATTTCAATTTATTTTGTGGTCGACTCGATTTCCTATAATAATTTTATTAGATTTCCGGAATGAACTACTTAGGGTTTCCGTTTGAAATACAAATTTCATTTCAAATATTTGAAAATTTTTTAAAATAATTTCAAACGAAATATCGGATATCGAAAATCATCTCGAAAATTATTATTTTCATAATTATTATTATTATTATTATTATTTTACCAAAAAAAAATTATCCAAAAAAGTTTTGAGTTCAACGTCAATCGCGACATGTCTGAGCTTTAATTATTAACAATTTAAGTTACTCGTTTTCATGTGTTTTTTTTTAATGAATAAAATTAATAAATTTTTTTTTTCATTCTAAAATCAAAAGTTCATATTGATAGCTTCTCATTCTTTGGAAATTTATGGAAGGGAGCTAAATTCAAAAACAAATTAATCATCACAATCAAGACCAAAATCTAGAATAATCATCCTCAACATTTCATCAAGATGCCATGGGTTGCTCCATTGATCGCACCTTATCATTTATCATGCATGCAATTGTCCCAATCACTTTCTTTACACATCTTTATTCAATTCATCAACATTCATTCAACATCTTCATGAATGCAGTTGTATAAATTCGTATGCTCAAGGACTCGAATCACGGGAATTGGTTTGTCTAACTTTTGACGTTAACCGGACCAAAAGAATATGATATTTATTATTTAAAAATTCATCAACAAACCCCTTCCACTAAAAAAGGTTATTTACTAGAAGGAGAATATAATATGGCCAAATACTGTATATATGTATACTGGTAAGTTAATCAACTTATAGCTCCCAATATAAAAAAAAAAAAAAAAAAAAAAAAAAAAAAAAAAAAGGACTTTATTGCGGACTTCTTAATCGTTCTTCGGTTAATTAATATTATAAATAGTTAATAACCTGAATTTCTTGATCTCTAATTCGAAACCTATTCAAGTAGGAACATGCGGATTTTATTTAACCGCTTTTAATTCTTATCTTTATAGATTTTTTTTTGATTTATGTCGCAAAAAATTTTCGAAATATGCAATATCAAAAATAAAATATATTTTTCCGAATTTCTTTGCGGTAGATTTTTACCAACGACGGAGCTATGTTTCCAATTTTATTATGTAACTTTGAAAGAGATACAATACCCTCATGAGGAGGCTCATAGGTCCTAGAAGCAATCTGCACAGATATTAAACCAAAAATAATTTTGAATAAATTAATGGTGGATGACAATTGTGTCTTTTTTATATGTAACAAATTATTCGTCGATTTATTCTTTGAACTATGCATATCTTGTGTGTTATTGAACGAGGTGGTAATACACATTTCTATTGTGTTACATTTTAGTTAATTAAAATGATCCCGTACTACAATATGAATACACATATGGTTTTCCATAAGGTGTGCGATGTAAATATGTATTTTTTGGATTGTTGAAAATAAAACGTAAATTGTTTTAAAAAAAAATTTCATTTATTAATAATGAATTATGATTAGAATCAGCTTGCGCAGTTCTCTTATTGGAGATTATACACGGTTTCAGTATAATCTTCCTTCCGTCTTTCTGTTTTCGCCATTTAGTTTGTCTCTTGATTTCTCTTTTTTTTTCTTCCTTTTTACAATATTTAAAAACTCTATAATAAAGTCTTCTATTCCTATAAATTGAGAATATACAAGAAAAAATAATAAAGTAACAAGGTTGCGTAACAACAAGAAATTGTTTTCTTGTAAATCTTACGATTTGCAAGAAGTACAGTTAGCTGAGGAACGTTTAACGTTAATAATTTAATTATCTATAAAATCATTTTGAATTACTCTAGAGAACTTATTTATTTATTTTTTTTTTTTTTAAATGATTTATTAATAAAATGATATTGTAACCCGGAACAAAAGTTCGAAAAGTCCGAAATGTAAGTTTTTATTTTTTAAGTGAAAAAAAAATTTATGTAAGTAAAATGATGGGATGGATTCCTTTCTAAATTAGATAAAGGGAGAGAAGAATATCTTTTGACCGATAATGTTTTAATTATATTAAAACATTAAAAATTTTTGTATGACGAGATTTATTAAGTAAAAAAAAAAATTATATCAAAAAAATCAAAATCTAATTAAATCTTTGAAATTATAGTAATTACAATTTGATACCAAACACACACACCATAACACACAATTAAATATAGAATACAAGAACCGCATTCCTCAAAGTAAAATAATTAATCGTCCTACATGGCCTTCTCCATCTTTGCATTTTCTATGATTTCTTTGACTTCTTCATTATCAACATCCTTTGTCTTTATATTGTAGGGTTTGAGCTCTTCGTTTGTACTATCAGATTTTACAGCGAAGACATCGGCTACTAAAACTTCTTCCTTTTGAAGATCTTTAGGATCTTGAGGTAATTGAAAAAAAAAAAAAAAGGCATGGTTTAGTTTTAAATTTCAGATAAAAAATTTATCGTCATGAAATTATTAATTAATCGTGTACTTACTTGGAGGTTTAGCATGAGGAGCGGGTGCAGCAGATACAATCAAGCAAACCAAAGCCAACATAACGGCCAACAAAGTAATGAATTTAGATCCCAACATGATTTAATTTCGGTTTAGTTGTTTTAAAATGTAGAAGGAATGAAAAGAATGTGCTTGTTTTGTTTAATCCTGTAAACAAAAAGTAGAATGTTTAGAGATTTAGGATGTATTAAAAAGATCGGCGAAACGGATTTGTTATGAATTGAAGGAAATGAAAAAAAAAAAAAAAAAAAAGGACGCAAAAAATTGCAATGTATTTATAACAAATTTTACTCCACATATACCGCGCGGATGGTTGAGATCGTTTATGCTTTAATCGGATAAAATAACTTGCATCATTAAAATTGGGTCCAACATATTTCGAATTATACTATTATAGCAATGAGACCAAAATTTGAATGACGATCACGAGACCGAAATTATGTGAAATATAAACAAACAATTCCGTATGACATTAAAATTTCCCTGTTTGATATAACGGTAAATACGTGCTGAAAGTTTTAAAAAAAGAATTTATTCCATTTGATGAGATAAGTGATATTATTGGTGGGATGGTCGCCTTGTGTTCCTTTTAATGGTTTCGAATTTTATTACTGGGTCTTTACTTACTTACCTTTATTTCACAATTTTGAAACATTTCGTTAATTTAAACCTGAGACAAGATTTAATGAAACACAAATTGCTAAATAAGGAAGGATATGAAATTTAATTTATCGGAAATCCCTTTAATGGAAAAACTATTAATAAATGTGGTTAATTAATGCGAGTATGGATAGTGTGGATTTCTGATTGTCATGTGCCGGTTACACATTAATTACACATATCAATTAATTTAATCATACATGATTATTATGTTCATCGTGACCAGTAAGGATCCCTCATCGTATTTATGAATAAACACTTAATATCGAACTCCATATGATATACCAAATCATTTATAGCACAATGAAAAAAAATTAATTACCTGCATTAATTAGAACCCCGAAACAGTAGGTCGACCGTGAATATTATTCGATATTAGTACCCTTAGCGTTAGTGACGTCCCCCATGTTTGATTAACCCCCTCCATTCTTAGTTCCATCTTTTACCATTTTTTTTTTCAGATAACGACGACTTTATAGGTTAAACGACGGTTCCGGATGAACGTCATTCAAGCTAACCTTTGCGATTACTTCTTCCGTTGAGTATTTGTTTTTTTTTTAAAAAAAAAAAAAAAATAGGTTGTGTCAGTTATAAATATATGTTGAATATTGATTGTTACGAGAAAAATTTTCGGACAGTCAACAGATTGCTTTAACCTATTGCCATTGAATTTTTTTAATTGATTCCTGCTCTTCGTTGACCTATTCTCTCTTGTTTACATGACGTTCTTCGGCATTCATTTTGACAGAATGTTAAAAATGTTACACGAATTATTTATAACTATTAAAAATAAATTAAGATTACTATATTTAGACAAGATTGAGCAGCATGACTTTTTGGGAATTCGTTTTTTGATCACAAAGCGTCATTTCACTTTTAATTTAGATCCTTCGTAAATTTTTTTAGAAAAATTCAATTAAAGTTTCATAATTCATGCCGTTGATGTTTATTGGTGTTAAAATAAATTAATCAAAAAACCTAAATTTAAAATTTCCTTTTTCATTGGTAATTTTTATTTATATGGTGTAAATTACAAATCACACTTTTTTTTAATGAAAAACAAAGCATGCAAATTAATTAAAAAGTCAAAATAATTTTTTATAAATAGTAAATAAATAAAGTATCTTTGTTAGATAAAGGTTGCTGAATTATTTTTTTTTTTTTTTATAATTGCTTCTTCAGCTTCATTCTCGTGAAATGTACTCGAATTATTTAGTAGGTGACTAATTTTTTTTCTCCCATTAAACCTGATGTTGAGGACTGGATGAAACAGTTAAATCCGACGTAAAGGAGTGAATAAGTCATGGTGAACCCTGAATCATTTCATGTTTTGGATGGAAATATGGTTCCCATTAAACCTTTTTCTCTTTCGAATATTTATTAAATCGCAAAAAAAAATACGTTCAATTAAAAGCAACGATTTTTATTTTTCTAATAAATTTTGATGAACGGTAACTGCGTGTATGCTTGTCTAGGAAATAGGTTTATTCGAGATTTTCGTAAAGTGCCGCCCTGTTTCAAATTATATTTGTGTGACATAAAGAAAGATCAAAAGAATAATTAGAATACTCACATAAAATGGATGAAAGTTTTTTTTTTTTAAAAAAAAAAAAATGACACCAACAATTTCGACCATCGTATTATTATTTTGATTACGGGAAACCCAAAAAGTAAAATGTAATGCGTATATGTATATTTCATAAACCAAAGATTTTTTTTTTAAAAAAAAACAATTTTGAATCGAAAAAAAAAAAAAAAAAAAAAAAAAAAAATAAAAAAAATTAATTTGTGTTTTTGTTATTAGGGAACTATACAATATCTTGTTCATCATTTTAATAATTTTTTACCATGATTAAAATCAAAAAATCCTTATATGGTGAAACAAATCACAATTG